AGTTGATGCAGGAGCCGGACGATTTATCAAGGTGGAAGCTGGGAGGCAGATGGACATGTGGCTCGAGCAGTCGGACAACCTCGAGAGGTGGGAAACCGCGGCGCTGACAGCTTCTGATCGGCGGGTACTGATCATTCAGTGGATTGGAGCGGCCATGGCAAGACTCAACAGCCAACAGGCGTTCCGATTCCGCCTTTTCGAAAAGTGCGGGATGGCCATGACTGGACGGCTCAGGCGATGATCGGATCACCTTGCAGGGTTTGGACAAGCCGTACACCTTCGCAAACGATGAAGTCTGTAGCGAGGACGAAGAAGTTTGGAGAACGGCAGCGATGAGCCTGAGCGGCGGGGGAAGGAGGGCGATGGATGTGAGACGGTCGTGGAGGGCGCTGATTCCAGCGATGATGAAGACGACGGCGGTAAGTTTGATTTGCACTAGACCCAATCTTTGTCATTTCCTTGTTGATGACGATGTCCATGTTGATATTTGCTTGGATTTTGCTGATGTGCTCTTTTCGCGTCCACGACCACGAACAAATATGATGGGTTCATGTTGAGTTTCGGCCGTGACACCGTACTTCTTGTCGTGTTTCACCGTGCCCCGGTCGCAGGCATGTCTCAAACCCAGACCGATGAGCTAGCTCTTTTCGACGACGACGACAGCATGGACCCACAAGACCCGGAGGACGAGACACAAGGAATGGAGATCCCGACAGGCTTTCGCATTCAAGAAGTTAAACCCGTTCCTCTTGACAGATTGCTTTAGCGACGTGGAGTGCTCGTTGGGCTAGAGAAGGGGTCGATCATTCAGCAATCTCAGCAGGACACTCGCCACCTGTACGACTACTGTGTGCAGCTGGAGGTAGACCAGAGTACGCGCAAGATGAAGCTGCCTTTAGACAAGTACCGGAGATNATGACGATGTCCATGTTGATATTTGCTTGGATTTTGCTGATGTGCTCTTTTCGCGTCCACGACCACGAACAAATATGATGGGTTCATGTTGAGTTTCGGCCGTGACACCGTACTTCTTGTCGTGTTTCACCGTGCCCCGGTCGCAGGCATGTCTCAAACCCAGACCGATGAGCTAGCTCTTTTCGACGACGACGACAGCATGGACCCACAAGACCCGGAGGACGAGACACAAGGAATGGAGATCCCGACAGGCTTTCGCATTCAAGAAGTTAAACCCGTTCCTCTTGACAGATTGCTTTAGCGACGTGGAGTGCTCGTTGGGCTAGAGAAGGGGTCGATCATTCAGCAATCTCAGCAGGACACTCGCCACCTGTACGACTACTGTGTGCAGCTGGAGGTAGACCAGAGTACGCGCAAGATGAAGCTGCCTTTAGACAAGTACCGGAGATGATCTGGGTGCGGCGGTAGGCTCCTGGGTTTTGCTTGAGAGCGTTAGTAGATCGGGGAGGGTACGCAGGACCAATGTCACCCTTGTGGACCAAGATGGTTGACAGTTGCTGCTGCATGCCTTGGTGTGTTCTTGTACCAAACAACAGCGTTGTTCCTCATGCTAAACACTAGAGACTAAACCGCCGAGTGCAGTTGACAGCCGCCAACATAGTGTGTCGTCATACAACGCCAACAGGGCCAATCGGTGTTGAAATAAGAACAAGAACATTTCGCTGGAGAAAAATGGGACGGCGAAATAAGAACATGGCCAATAAGGACACGTGCTGGGGTTGGGGCAGCCAATAAGAACTGAGCCTCGCTCAAAATAGGAGGTTCTTGAGTGCGGGCCTCAACTTTACCGCAAGTGTTTAACTGAGTCGGCAAAGACAGGGGTACGTGCGCACCTCGCGCATTGACCCTAAAACTGCTGCATGTATCGACTCCGTCGGCAAAAAGAACCGTGCATAAGTTCACGCATAATAACTGGAAAACGAGGATAACTACGCGCATAATTCGCTTCTGTAAGCACATGCTCGGCCGAAAAAATAAGCATAAAAAAAGAATAAATCCGCATACTGCTGTTGTTGTTTTTATCGTGTCAGTTGCTAATAATCCCAAAATCTAGCGAAGACTCGGTCCGTGGTCACAAAAGTGCTAGAGCCATCAGAAGATCTAAAGAACACACACTATTAGCAAGAAAAGGGTACACAAGCCCGAGGAGTACACCTACAACCCTTGCAGCACGTTTGCGTGCTCACAACTGAACTACACGTCCACACACTACACTACAAATCGACTACTACCACAGCAGTATCACCCCCCTTGTCCGGCATTGAACCAAAATGAATGTTTGTCGACTACAGCGTACTGCTGTCTGGAGTGCTGTCTGTACAATAATAACACCATGGTGCATGGTACACAAGCTCGGGGCATGCAGCCGCTGTCTGAAGTCCTTTCAGATGAGTCCGTGGACATTGAAGAACACACAACCAAAGCCACCACAACAAGCCATATAAATGGAAACGGCGTTTCCAATTCATTTTTTTTTCTCCCATCATTGGATTCTGTCGTCTGCCCTTCTGGCCCCTATCCTCCACTTCTACCAGCTAGAAGACCCAACCGGGGTCACATAGAAGGGGGAGGTTAGACCCCCTCCTGCGGTTCCTGCCTGAGATATTTTCATCGCGATGCAGCAATCCCTTCCCTCGCGACTTATGAAGTCGATCAAGTTTACTAACGACGAGCTTGGCAGCGCGTCGCTTCCAACGGAAACCAGAATTAAATAAGCGAGAAAAAACTCACTCTGTCGGGACTCGAACCCATGACCTCGCCCTTAGCACGCTGCGAGGCTACCCGCTAGACCACCGGGGCGACCGTGTGTTGAAATGTGGTTCTGTAAAAGTTGGTTCCGGAGGCGTTTTTGAGGGCAGGGACATTTCTCATCTGCCGTTGAGGGCAGATTCTTGGGCGCCGGGCGCCGTGAGGTTGCGCTGAGATTGCGCCGCACCGCACACAGCCGCAGACCAGGTGCTGCCGCATCCACCCCCATCCTCTCGTCGTTCTGGCTGTCTAGCATGCTGCAAGCTCTTCGATGGAGGGCCGTAAGGCATGGAAGAGGATGTCTTGCGATTGCGGGTTCTCCACGTTGTGCTTCAGCCCCGAAGCAGCGGTTCCTTGCTGCTGCATCAAAGGGGAGAACTGATCCACCTGTCGCGTCTACTGAAGGTCTTGATCAACAAGAGGCGGGCAGCAGTACTGCAACGGACCAGCAGCATGACCCCAGGCATATCCTACTCTATGAAGGCTCCAAGGTATTTGCTACGCACGATATTTGCACTGCTGTACCTTTCGACAAGAGGCTCTGATCTCCGACACACCATCACACAATGGCAGACGTCACGGTGGCATGTTCCAATGCAACAGCAGCACAGCAACGGGAAAATGTGACGAAAGGGCCAGCCACGAATGCGTTATCCCTTCATAATAGCCTGGGGGTAGCCCCGGCCTCATCTGAAGTCCTTTCGCTTGTTCCCCAGGGAGGCTATGTTTGTGTGGGGTCGAGGATGATGTAGTTGGGGCCGGTGATGAAGATGAGTTGGATAGTCCAAGTCCATCCATGGATGTGAAACAAAAGAAGCGAAGAAGGAAAAAAGGACGGAACTGTTCGGATAATCAGAACTGGGGGTATTGTAGCTTGTCGCAAGACGTATGTTGAATAGGGTGTCGGCAACTCGGCGGGCTCGCGCAGAGGAGAAAAACTTGCTGTGATTAGTTGCATCCACATACGCACACATAAGCCCCGTTGAGGGGGCGACGCCCTATACGAAAGGGGCACCTTGTACATCCCTGGAATCCATTTTACGTACCACACCAGTCACCCAGTATTCCGCTTTCCCTCATTCCATGGGAACATCCCGTACCATCCACTTGGCATTGCTACAAGTATATCCATCAGCCCCACTGCTTGTGACTATGCCTTGTCTTCATGATCTCTCAGTAACTCCAAAACACAACTCAAATCTGCAACAAGAGCCTTCTGGGCTAGAAATATATTTCCATGCCCGATCATCCCAGTTGTAGTTCTTCGATAATCATAGCGATCCAATAGCCCCGCCGCCTAGAACACCATTCATCGAGAAAACCATAGGCAAAAATGTATATCGTTGCCACCCTAGTTATTTGATCAAACACAAATAAATCCAAATCTACCGTTCCTGTCACCCAATCTCTCTCATAAACGCACCCTGAATACCATTTCAAATCCCCAAGATTCTTCACCGGTACCCATGGTGTTGAGATCTCTGCCAAACTGGTCACACCTCTCCTCCTCTCATATCGAAAATATATCATCTACGTGTACCACCAGTTTCACTACCACTCTTCCCTCCTCAATCAACCGAAACACACACGTATCCGCCATGCACTTGATAAAACCCAAACAAATCAAACACTTCCCCAAGTGCGAATGTCATTGTCTCGACGCCTGCTTCAGACCGTACAAACTCTTGTTCAACCTCACTACCTTACCAGACAATCTACCACAGTCCTCAGGCAGACGCATGAAAACATCCTCATCCAAATCCGACGGTACGAATGCTTGCTTGATGTCGATATGACGGAGGGAAAGATTTTGCTCACACGCCATCGCAGCCAACAGACGAACACTAGAAACCGCTTCAGTCGGTGCATAAGTTTCCCCACTATCAACATGTGCTTGCTGCATATCGCCTCTCGCTTCTAGCTTTGATTTCCCCTTGGTTGGCCGTCCATACTCATCGGCCTTCCACTCAAAAACCCATTTGGCCTTCAAAACGCCCCCTGGTTGCTGCGAAACTGACTCGAAAGTGCCGGCCGCCATCAGGCCCTTTATTTCACCATCAACCGAATCCTTCCACAATTGTCCATAGTCAGAGTTCATAGCCTCCCTAAATGTCTTCGGTACTCTGAGATCACCATCATAGCAATGTGGCAAGTCCGGTGCCACTTCCGGGGGATCTAAATCCCTCATCGTCCGGGCGATGTCCTCGCGGGAGGCAAGCAGGGTGGCGCACGCAAATGGGACTTCTTCACGCAGTCTTCGTGCCCCCCCGCTCTCGCCCCCCCGGCTCCGCTCCATCACGTCCACCGGCTGAACTCGGAATCTCCTGTCTCCCCCATCGACGACGCTGCGAGTGGTGAGAGTCAACAGGAGCGTTGCCTTGCCCTGCAGAGATACAAGCCCGAAGCGGTGGGCGGCCAGGTGACGTCGACCGTTCGGCCCCCCCATCCTGAAAACGCACCGGCCGACCCCTCAACCTCCCTGGCACCCGCGTCTCTCGTCCCAAGTCCAACTCTCGATTGGCCCTGGCAGAGAGGGGCGGCATTGACGACGCCCGCCCCCCCCCTTGGTCCTTAGCGGCTGCCCTCGTGCGCCCAGAAACCCTCATGTCCCCGCGCCCCACGTCCAGTTCACAGATGGACCTCGTGGTGAGCGGCGGCATGTTGGTCGATGGCGCGGCACCGGGCGGTGCGGCGGCGGGGAACGGTGTTGCTGATGGTGCAGCGGTGGTGGTGAATGGTGCGGCCGGCGGCGCAGCGGTCGTGGTGAACGGTTGCGCGGCGACGAACGGCATGGCAGGCGGTGCGGTGGTGGTGAACGGTAGCGCGGCGGCGAACGGCGTTGCAGGCGGCGTGGTGACCGGTGGCGGTGGCGTGGTTGCGGTAGACGGCGCCGCCGGCGATGGTGGTGTGGAAGTTGCCGGCGGCGCCTGTGAGGATGTGGCAACGGGTTAAGTGAGAGAGCGGGCGAACGGTGAGAGGGGTAAACGAGGCGGTGAAATGTACTCAATTAGAAAGGGTGAGGCGGTGACATCCGAATTCCCCCCTCGCCCGCCGGCGCCGGCAGCTCCAGTGGCGGGTTCAGCAACGGCGCGCGGTCGGAGATCCACACGACGTTGTTCGTCATGCACACGCGCCCCGTCGCAAACTTGAGAACCTTGACCGCCGACTCGTGATGGTTGTCGGCGTTGTTGAGNTCGTCCGCCGGCGCCGGCAGCTCCAGCGGCGGGTTCAGCAACGGCGCGCGGTCGGAGATCCACACGACGTTGTTCGTCATGCACACGCGCCCCGTCGCAAACTTGAGAACCTTGACCGCCGACTCGTGATGGTTGTCGGCGTTGTTGAGGTAGAAGCACAGCACTGCGTGGGGATCCATCTTCCTCGCGCGCATCACACGCATATACCCCGGCTGCAAGAACGGGACGATCTGGAGCGGGGGCGGGCGACCGGTGAAGTGCTCATGCGGCGACTTGTATCCGACGTTTGCCTTGGTCGGGGAACGGTTGAAGCCGCCGGCAGCCCAGTGACACGACTCTAGCCAAAGTCGCTCGCCATCGCGCCCGAAGCCGGGGGTGCGGGTGAAGTCGATCTTGGGGAATAGGCGACGTGCCTCGAGACGAGCGGCGTGGCCGGCCTTGTTCGCGCGCCAGATCGCACTCTCCGCCGGACCATTCTGCTGCGGGGTGCCCGGCGCCGTGTACGTACGGCGGATGCCGGCGTTGTCGCAGCAGGCGATGAAGTCGCGGCTGATGAACTCCCCTCCGTTGTCCATTCGGAAAGAGCAAGGAACACCGGTGCCACTCACGTGGGCGAGGAACTTCTTGACGGTGGCGAGGGTGTCCGACTTGCGCCTCATCCCGTGCAGCTTCATCCACCGCGAGAAACTATCCACGAGCAGGATCATGAAAAACGATCCCCCCAGCGACGCCGTCATGGGCCCACACAGATCGATGTGCCAAAGATCGTGCGGCCCGCCCGCGCGCGCGCCCATGTTTTGGGGCACGCCCGTCTTCTTCCCCTTAGCCTCCAGGCAACCACCACAAGGGTCCAGAACACCGGCCAGTCGGAGGCCGTACTACTTCGAAAGCTCACGCATCAGAAACTCATTCGCATGGGAGCACAGGACGTGGAGGAGGTTGCTGTCAACACTGGTGGTGGGTTTCCCCACCGAAAAAGCTTGTTTGCCCGGGGCCATGACGGGAACGGCAAAAGTGAAATCATCGAAGACATTCGCAAATCCAGACTCAAACATCAAGTCTGAAAACTCGAAGGGGTCTTCTGATACCTCTCTTTGTTCTAATAGGTACACAGGCCACTCGTAATCTCCCTGCTCTGTGTACGGAATACACCCACGGTCATTATCCTCACTACTCTCCTGAAAAATGGTGACGTCGGGCGAGGGCAGCCCGGGAACAGCTACCCACTCCATACCATGCGGCAATCGAGGAGCGGAAGGAAAAACCACACTCCTGTCAGCGGGGGAGGGGGCATACATTGCCGGAAGAACGACGCTGCTCGCAGCGGGCGGGAAACCGGACACAGTAAAGAGCACTACGCTGCTCGTAGCAGGCGGGAAACCGGGCACGGTAGAGGGCACTACGCTGTTTGCAGCGGGCGCGGAACCATACACCATGGAAGGTACTACGCCGGCAGAAGCGGGCGGAAAATTTGACACGGGGGGTTGAACAACACTCCTGAGAGCGGTGGGGGGTACAGACATCACCGAAGGCACTACGCTGCTTTCAGCGGGCGGGACACCTGACACTGCGGGAGGAACGTATGCAACACCCGGAGGAGGGGAAAACACCGGTGGGGTTGGTGGCATCACTCTACCATCATTCGCATGCACACTACACCAGCAGCGCGGGGGGGGGAGTACCGGAGGAAAAGGCATCACAGGCACAGCGGTGGGCGTTTGATAGTTGGACGTTAAGCGAGTGGCCCAAAGCGACAAACCCCTCTCTCCTCTCGCCACGGGGAAAGGTCAATTGGCCATGGAAAAAATTAGTGCCTACGTCGTCTAAGGTAATACGTTGCATGCCCGGCGCTTGGTGAAGAGAGAAAATGTTGAACCCCATTACTTCTACATGACGTACTCGGGTCAGCTTCACGCAACAGTCTCTACCTTCAACATGGAACCTCACGTTCAAACATCCGATTCCAAACACTCGCATCGTCCTGCTTTCGCCTATCTGCACTCTTTCGCAACCAAGCGGCGGGATGATCACATCATACATGTTTGTGGGGTCGCCGGTGGTGTGGTTAGTTGCACCGGAGTCAGCAAGCCATTCTTCAGCTCCTACACGCTCCTCCCTTACAACCGGCATAGAGTTCATCAACGCATACCCCTCACCCCCCACAAATCCACTCGAAATCTCACTCTGGCACTCACTTGACGTGTCCCTTACAACACACGCATGCAAAGTCCCCCCTGTCGACGATACGGGTTCGAATCCCGGCTGGTCACTTTCACAAGCACCATTAGTTCTTTCTCCGGCAGCGCCTGGCAAGGGGTCCGTCCCCGGAGATCCCTACTTCAAAATCCCAGTGACCAGCCGGGTGGCTACGAGCCGAGAGTACCATTAATCCCCGTTGTCGATCTAAAACCCACTCGACGTGCGCATGAGTACGGAATAGAGCGGGCAAAAAGACAGGGCGCCGTTAGCCGTGACCATGGTATCCATTGTCGGCTATAACGGTAAGGCCAACATTTGACGGGTAGATGGAGAAGCGTTAACCGCCGCAATTACCCCGGTGGACAAATTCGGGAGAGAATGACCAAGGGCAGCCCCGATGGGTTCACCGGCGGTGTTAAAGCGAAGGTTGTGGAATTTTTTTTTTATCGTCCCGACATGTGTCTGCAGCACAACGAATACCGCATGGAACCTGCAAACCGCAAAAGAATCGACATACAGACGGAAAAGGCAGTCCCTCCAGGCGAGGAACGCAGCACGAAATCCTGGTGGGAGGGGTGGTTCGGTTGTTCGCGCACGCGGGAGATCTACGAATATGACATACAGCAACGGACGCGTTCTCACAAGCTGACACAAGCGTTAGCACCAAACTAGCAGGAGGGGCGGAACGGGCCAGGAGGGACACCTCTTCCAACCCACGCGAAAACCTGTCAATGGAATATCGAGAACCATGGACCGAAGAAATCAACTTGCTTTTAGAGATGAGACCGGAGATCCCCTAAAACCAAGTGAAAATGCAGAGAGTGGGGTCACTTTTTGGTGGGGTCCAAATCGAACGGGAATTTCCGCGACAGAAACTGAATCCCTATCGGGCTTCAGAGTCGGCAGCGGTGCCACTGCTGTGGTGCCATGTACCATACCTGCACAAAACCGCGGACCAAGCCGTGTAGCGCAAGTCAATTTCTTGCAGGGGCGATCGCGCGCGGTCTGGATGAGTAGTGCGCACCGTTGGTGACGTTAGATGCCACGCTTTCTGGACCGATTTCAAAAGCTCGACTCCACGACGATGAAGGGGATGCATGAATCGAACGAAATGTTATAAAAAATCTCTCGACCAGCCGGTGGTCATTTCTCCATTTTCGGTACCGGCACTCCCTGTGCTGTTGAGTAGTAGAGCTTTGAAAATCGGCCCGGGGGAATGATATCTTATGTAATGGCACCTGCGGTAGCCCGGTATACTACTGTATCCCTGTAGACACCACTTGCCCCCCCCAAAAATCGGTATCTCAAAAGGTTAAGGTTCAGTTTTTTCCTTCAGCAAATCGAGGAAATGCTTGGACTTAAGTGTTGAAAGTATTCAAACTTCAGCTCAAAACTTGCTCAAGATATTATTGTACCAATTGTGTTCATCGAGTGTCTCAAGGCACGATGTACAACCAGTGTCTCATCAGCTACTTGTGTATCGCTTGATTTTCGGCACTTCGGCTGTTGGCAACTTTTGAAACGAGGCCTTGTCCTTCGAGCCGGTGTGCGCCACAACCCTCTTGTCTACAGAGAAAATTGCCGTTCCTGGAGGGCTACTCCGTGGCGGAATTCAGTGGAATGAGGTTAAGGCTGCCAGTCATCTTTCAAACTGTCCGCCACTCACTGCCGGGTGACGGGAGCTGCATGCACCTACCGAGAGACCCTAACGATAGCCCGCTTTTGGCTTGCAGCGCCTCTCATGCAACGAGTACTGGAACAATTATGGAGAGGCCGTGGTGTCGCCGGCAGAGCTGTTTAAGCGTGAAGCCCTGGATGATATACGCCTTGTATACGACTATGTAGTCTATAGCTCGAACAGGATCCAAAATTTGAACTCAAAACGAGCGCTGAGTAGTCGTTGATATCCTCAGCGGAAATGTGCCACTTCTGTTTCTCTCGGCTCCCGCCCCAGTTTAGCTCTTCGGGCCAAAGCTCCTGGGAGGTATATAGGCATGCACACCAACGTGACCCAACGAATCAGAGACTGCGCTCGCCGAGTCCCCACCTTCTCTCTCTCTCCTCTTGTGTCTCACAGAGGAACGTTAGAATATCGAGCTCCGTAACGGTGGTAAACGGCCTCTACTGGTCGTTCTACGTCGGCGTCCTGGAGCCTCACCTTCCAAACACAACTTGGGAACCGTGGGGGTGAGCTTGTAGCATATTTTTCTGTAGGCGTTATGATTTGTAGCATTCGTTGTGTAGGTGTGCATGATCGGCGGCGGTGAAGACGCAACGTCGTCACGCATTGGGTTCTTTGCGCTATGCGCGTGCGTCAATGGCCTTGGACGTTGGAGTGTGGCTGGTTGAATCCTCTTTTTTCTCGTGGGATAACGCGGAACGCTCGAGAGCTGTCACGACCAATTCGACCAGGATCAATGAGGTAGCCGACGTGCCCTACCGGCCAGACACCGGAAAGGGAGTGCGCGTAGCACCCCCGGGTAACCGTTGATGTTTGTGGAAATGTAGTGATGGAGTGGTGTGTGATGCACACGCGACTTGCTTTGCTCATGGCCGAAACCTCTGGTGGATTCTGAACATGCTCCTTACGCTGTCCACGCCCGCGCCTTTTTTTGCATGTGGTATGCTTTCTGTCTTTTCGACACCTAGATACCTGGGACTTGGCTTCACGGCCATCATGACCGCTGCTACTCATACATTCGCAAGGGTGAGTGACGCGTGCTACGTATGGCAGCTGCTACGGAAGCCCAAAGCCGGTTGTGACCGATGTCATGGGTATGGGGTCTTCCCCGACGCTTGCCCCGACGCTTGCTGGGGTCCCAGGGTGGGCGGCGCGGATCCGACCGTCATGTTTCTGTTGTTGTTTGTGCGCTTGGAGTCTGTTCGATTCGGAGTACTCGACAATATTGACGAAAAATGTTCCGGGCGCATAACCCCCTCTCTGGCAAGCAATTTGGCAGTAACTATGGTCGACCTTGGGGATGTGAGTATCCAGTTGGTGGCGAAAGCCCAAGGGTGATTTCCTACCTGTAATGGTAATAGCATACGGAGATACTTGAAAACACAAGGACCACGGCATGTCGCGCTAGAATGGTGACATCCATCGTGCCCTTGGTCATGGTAGTTGTGGTACGCGTGCACCAACTCATGTTGTCCCGACTCCCCCTCGCCGAACAACTCGCTTTATTGCCTCACGCAGCATTGGGTCAGCCAGATTTCGTATCTGCCGGATCTAAGATTACTTTCCATCGGGACGCACAATTTCTTTGGGGTGAGCAAACTTGGTAAAAACATCCTGACAATGGCCCCGCTGTTTCTCGTGAAAGTGCTGCCGCTGCCCAAGAAGACCCCGCTTTGCTGATTGCGATACTCTGTGTTGCTGTGCTGTCCAATCTCATCTTGTCCCGTGTATTGATGAAGGAGGGGCAATGCCGGGAAATGGTGCGACTAGTTGAGCTAAACATCGAATAGTTGAGCTGTTATGTTTGACGATGCAACAAATGCCGGTTTAACGCACCTCTCTAGTTTCACTCTCTCCATTTTGTCTGATGTCAAAGTTGTGACTTGTCCTCCACCTAGGTCTCGTGAAACCAAA